CGTGGGGAAAATGGGTGTGTGGAATCGGAGCAGCCTCGGGGCTGCGGTCGGCGTTGGGGCTGTGCGCCGTGATCAGGGCACGGGGCTATTTCCATCCTCTACTACATCGGCTGCTGCTTCTCCAAGGACACAGGTGCTCTTCCAGTGCAAATGTCGATTCCTGCAGTTTATACATCTTAAAAGACAACATTTCTCTACTAAAATAAACCCTTTTTTAAAAATCTTTTTTTTTCCTTTCTCTTCATTTCAAAATACATCTACAGTAACATCAAAAATATTTCCCTTGTGCATTTTTCTCTCCCCAACGCTGCGAGCCGACAGCGAGGATGCTTTTCTCCTCTCTATTCCCCCCACCCCATTCCTCTCCTGGGGTGTGACGTGCCCCACAACCCCCTTTTAGCTTCCTCCACCCAACCGCCGCCTCCCGATGGCAAAACGCGATGCCTGATGTTTCGGGAGTGTTTCCAACTGGTTTCTCGCCTGGTGCTGGTGGTGCTGGGTTGGTTGTTCTTTAAAGTCTCCCCCTCTTTGCTTTCCTGTACTGAGAAGACAAGTAGTGCAGAAGCTGATGAATGGAGCTGTGTACAGTGAAATTTGTGGATTGCTTTTTTTCTTTTTTAACCATAACTGAGTGAAGCACACGGAAGCAAGATTCATTAAAAGGCAGCATATTGATTATTGTTATGACTCTCATACTAGGATACTGTAGCTAAAGCTAGCAAGCCTGATAAGATAAACTAAGTCCTATTTACTGTATTTAACATTATCTGAACATACTGAGCCTTAATTAATGAGCAGATTTTCATTTCCAACCTCAATGGATTATGCTAATTTATAACAAAGGTGGTTCCCGTTTTGCTGATTTTCTAGTTTTTGGTTGGTTTTTTCTTTTTTTTTTTTTTTGTTTTTCCTTTTTTTTTTTTCCTGCTAATAACTTGTGTCACATTTTTCCCATCTGAGGAAGATTCCTCCCCAGGCACGGTCAGTGTCAGGCTCAGCCAGGGCTGGGTGCAGGCGCTCAGCATCCCATCCAACACCCCTGTATGCCTGGGATGAGCTCGGCTGTCCTCGCTTAGCTTTGCTGCATTTTTATCAATAATAAGGACTTTGGAAGGCTGATAAAAGATGATCTACTCTAAAACATCAATTGAAGGAGTCTCAGAGTTTCAAAAGAAAGCTCACAGTGAAATGAGCAAAAAGCATCGGAAATCAAAACAGCAGGATGCGGTCTCGGAGCAGCAGCATCCCTCGGAGCAAGCTTGGAACCTAACGCCACAGCAGTGTGTTATGAGTGTGTCTTTAGTCCTTTGTTGCTAAATAACTTCCAATTTTTTCATAATGACAAGTTTCCGGTTTCTGGCTGTGCTGCTTGACTGTCAAAATATTCTTTGGCATCCACAAAATTACTTGACTGATTGGTTTGACAATTGCAAGTTGTTTTTTTTGTTTTGTGATTGGTTTAACCGGTTGCAGAAGTGTCCCAGGTTTGGTTGTGGTTTTTTTTTTTTTTAGTTTTTTTTTTAAAACCTTTTTTTTATTTTTAAAAAACAACAACAACAAAAGTTTCAGTGAATTCCTTTTTTTTTTTTTTTTTTTTAAAAAAAAACACTGGGGTCACTCCAATAAAACACGTAGCACGACTTAACTGTGACCTTTGAAGCCAAAACCGAAGTAATGGTGCAATTAAGTGCAAACATGGAAATTCGCCTGACTTGTAGGTAACATGGGCTTTTAAACAACATTTAAGGCTTATTGGGGACATTTTATGCATTAAATTATTGTAATATTTATAATGTCAGCTTCTGTGAATCACCCTCCCACAACAAGTCAACAGCTTGTAACCAGGATTTAAGGAATAAAAATTAAAAAAAAAAAAAGGATGGGGAGGAATAAATTCACCATTTCTATTGTAGCGTTTAGTAGGAAAACAGAATGGTGAAGGCGAGCGTTTCCATTTCCCCTCGATGACAGCGTTTCGCTGTGCAAAGGGGATGTCAAAGGTGCCACCCCGGCACGGCGGGACCACGGCAGCCCTCGGAGAGCAGCACGGGCAGAAAAACTTTGCTCAGCCTCCCGGGTTAAACCAAGCCCGACTCCCCACGGTGTTTTCAAAGGATGCTTTTCTCCTCTATCCTGCCCCACGTCTCCGTTTTCCAGCTTGTCAACAGCCGACTGATTCACCTGAGTCAATCAGTTTTTCTAACGACCTCAACGGGCTCGACCCACGGAGCAGCGACGGGGAGAAATTTTGCATCCTTTGCCCCTGGACGGATCCCGACCAGATGGAAAGGTGAGGGGAAAAAACAATGGCCGAGGATATTTGTCTAAAAATAGAAACGTTAATGTTGCTCTTGTCCACCCCAAGCGCTTTCCTCCAACAAGCTTTTTGTGCTTTAGTCATTATTTATTTTAGTATCGCTTAGCTCGCTTCCTCGCATACGCCTGCCCGCACGCAGCCGGCCGCTACCGTACCCTCCGCTCGCTC